TACTACTACTTACTCCTGCTACTACTGCTACTGCCACTACCCCAACCCCTACCCATACCGCTACAACTACGACTAACTGCAGCAGCTGCACCACAGCACTAAAGATGAAACAAAGACGATGCTGCAACCAAAGCAGCAAGGACCGTTAAGGAAATGTGCAGGAGGTACTACTACCCCGAAAAAAACCACCTGTATTGAGGAAGTCTCAGCAGAATGATACTGGGCGAACAGACGCCAGGAAGATTGCTGCAATCGGAGCCATGCATCTAAGGGGCCCCATCTCTAAGGCCTGAGGCCATATAAAACAGAGTCTAATATAATGTGCTGAAATATAACATAAAAAGACTAAACCATAAACTCTAAAGCCGAAGTTGACTTTCCTCAAAGCTGCATGCTCACACCGAGGCCATACGCGAAAGAACCAGCACTGGGCACTTTCCACAGCAGCGTACCGAAGGCAAGCAGGAACGGAATGGCCAGCAGCTTCTTCCTTAAGACAGGCCTACTTGTACCAGCCCGAAGCCTCATCTTACAAGGGTCTGAACACTTTGGGAGTTTCCGAAAATGAGGGGTACCTTATTTTGGGGGGGTCCTTATAATGGATCCTGCTATTCAGGGTACTATATTAGGGTCCCATATTTTCGGAAACCACATTTGCAATCTTCTTCCTTCGGGTTTGATTAGGCTGATCTTTCAGAGGCCGGCATTCTTCCAACTAGCACGACTTTCCAAAAAGCCCAGAAACCCAAAAGGCCCCCGAGTTAGCCCAGAGTCTTCCGGCTTCCGGAGGAGAGCGCAGCTTCCGCGGCTTCGATACCTTTGGCGACCCCCTTGACCGGGACCTCCACCTTGAGTCTTCAAGTGTTTTTCGCTCAGGCTTTGCTGCTTCGGGTTTAAGGCTGAAGGGCTTAGAGAGATGAGGGTGTAGGAGGCTTGTGGTGAATGATCTTCGTTTGAGGTGGCTTCGGCTCTAAAAGCCGCGTTTTTTCCAGCAGCATGCCAGTAGCACCTTAGCATTGTCACGTGGGGTGTGGGCCTGTGGTCGAAACCCTGAACCCGAAAAGTTACATCCTTGAGAACTTAGATTCGTCCAAACTCTTGGAACTCAAAACCTTGCAGTGCTATATCCCGAGAGCCGCATTGCCGATTCCCCAAACTCGGCTGAAGTAGCCCCAAACAGCCCAACAAAGACCGGAGCCTCGAAGCCCTTTTCTTGAGCCCGTGCTGAGGCCAATGTCTGTGACGGGGGGCCCTCTGTTTGAGCAGGGACTGCAATGCACTAAGCCCTGAATCCCTAAAGGCTTATAGCACCCTGATTCTGCCAGAACCTTGACAGGCACCAAAAGCAGCCAAGCCCCGTCTAGCTGCCGTTTTGTCCCCTTAAAAGGATAAGCGTGGATAAACCCTTAGAGCATCCTCATAGAACCCTGTACAAGGAGCCCAAAAAGATCCCAAAGCAGCCAACCCTAAACCCCTTAAAAGGAACCGCACAAATCCAAAAGCAACTAACCCTACCCCTTTAAAGGGAGCCCAAAAAATATCCAGAAGCAGCCAACCCTAAACCCTTTAAGCGGAACACTCAAAGAAACCCTTAAGGAACCCTTTAAAGAACCCTTAAAGCAACCCTTAAAGGAACCCTTAACGGGAACCCTGAAAAGATCCAACAAAAACAGCCAACCCTAAACCCTAAGCACCCCTTTAAGGAACCCCTGGAGGGACCCTTAAAGGGACCCTTAAAGGAGCCCTTACAGGGAACCCTTAAAGGAGCCCTTGAAGGGAACCGAAAAAGATCCAACAAAAGCAGCCAATCTTAAACCCTAAGCACCCTTTAAGGAACCCTTTAAAGCCCCTTACAAGGAACCGAAAAAGATCCGACATGAGGGCTTTAGGGTTTAGGGTTTAGGGGTTTAGGATTTAGGGTTCCTAAACCCTAAACCCTAAACCCCTAAACCCTGCACCCCTTAACCCTAAACCCTAAACCCTAAACCCCTAAACCCTGAACCCTAAATCCTAAGCAGCCAAGAGGCGCTCCCCAGCTCCCGAGGCGCCGGGCGCTTTGCGAGGCGGAGGGCGGCGGCTGCGGGCAGCTGGAGGACTCCTTCCTGGTCATTTTTTGTTCTTTTAAAGGGTTTAGGGGTTTTTGGGGGGTTTAGGGGACTCCTTCCTGGTCATTTTTTTTTTGGTTGGTTTTAGGGGTTTGGGGTTTTCTGTTAAAGGTTTTAGGGGATTTGGGGGGGGTTTAGGGGTTTAGGTTTTCTTTTAAAGGGTTTAGGGTTTTGCTTTTCCCACCCTTTTTGGGGGTTTAGGGGTTTAGGTTTTCCTTGAAAGGGTTTAGGGAGGTTTTTCCCTCCTACTTAGCACGGACCTTTTTTTGCCTTTCGACTCTCACACTCGCACAAGGCCGGCAAGGCTCCGCATAGAGGGTTTAGGGTTTAGGCGTTTTGTTCTGATGGTTTAGGTGTTTGGGGTTCAGGTAGCTTTTTTCGGGGTCAGGGGTTTAGGGTTGAGGCTTTCCGTTAGGGTTTAGGGGTTTAGGGTCTAGGTTTTTTTGGGACGGGTTTGGGGTTTAGGGTTTAGGTTGCGTTTTGGGGTTTAGCTTCGGCGCTCACACTCGGACAATCCAGGCGATGCGTCTTGTAGGGTTCTAGGGGTCTGAAGAACTAGACTAGGGCTTCACAAGGGTTACTTTAGGTGGCCTCAAAATGGGGGTTTCCGAAAATAGGGGAGCCCAATGTAGTACCCGAAATAATAGGATCCTCATTGTAAGGACCCCAAAATAAGGTACCCCTCATCTTCGGAAACTCCCAAATGGGTTTATAGGGTCTTAGCAGGAAGGGCTTAGTTTGGGGGCCTCCTGGTACTTCCGGGGGTCTGAAGAACTAGAACCGGGCTCTATAAGAGGTACTGTAAAGGTTTCTAGTAAAAGAAGGAGCCCTTAAAACCAATTAGGGTCTTGCAAGGTTTAGTTTGGGGCCTTCCTGGTAATCTAAGGGGTCTGAAGGGCTTTATAAGGGTTAGTTACTGTAAGGGTTACCCAATCTTGGCTGCCGCGTTCATCCGGGTTCATAAGCCGAACAGTTATGCTCTCCACAGTGTACATTGGGCCCACTCCCCCGAAAGCAAATCCTTCGTGGCCACTTGTGCCGCAAGACCGCTGAAGCCCTGCCTGAAGATGCCAGATGTTGAGATGGTGGCTTTCCGTGAAATTAGGCTTCGCGTTATGTGGGGTTGTGCTCTTTGTTCACTTCAGGGGCCGTGGGGAGCGGCTCCTGTTTCTCCACACGAACCAAAAGAACCATTTTGCTGGAAGGCTTCCGAAGACGAAGTTGGCGTTGTGTCAGGAATGGGCAACCCTGTTTCGAATTCAGCATTTCCGCTGCACACCTGCCCCGAACCACCTCTACAAACGGAGACAAGACCGTGGGATTGCCGCAGCCCTTACGTGGAGTCCAACCGCTCAAGCCCCAACTCTGAAAGTGGTAGGACCCTTGCAAAGTCCGAATACCAACAAATAGCCTGAACCCAATACCAAAACAGCTGTACTGCTTCGGAAATCACGCTGCAAACTGCCATTGACCATCTTCCCGCCAAGCATACCCCGGAGGCGCTTCCTGGGGCCGTATACATAGCAAAGTTGTTTTTGGCTCAGATCAGGGCCTGTTGTTCAAGGTCATTGTTGTTCGTCTTGCGGGTTCGCAAAGCCGCATGCATGAGCCCAACACTTACACGTTTCTTTGCTGAGCCCAGGGACAATATGGGGGTTTCCGAAAATAGGGGACCCTAATATAGTACCCTAAATAGTAGGATCCCTATTATAAGGTAGGTACCCCTAATTTTCGGAAAGTCCCATATTTCACGGAATCTCAAAACTGTGCGCTTTCTGGAGCAAGGCTTCCGCGTCAGCTGCTGGAGGCCGTGGATTAGGCTTGAAATAGCTGCAAGCGGGGCCCATCCTACATACCCTCATTTCTAAAAACCCACAAAGAAACTCACATGCTTTTAAATCTTAACCACTAAACACGAAACTATTTTACGGTGGATTGCCGGCTCCGCTTCTGTTGCCACACGCCGAGCCGGAAGATCAAACTCGACTACCCGTTCCCATTCCGGACCAAACCCACCGGATCAGAATTGGGGGGGTTCAGACAATAAGGCGGGTATAAGTATAGAAATAAACACATGAGTACATATATTTATATATATATAT